TCAAAATTCACATGCACCAAGACACTGAAAATCGTGAAAATCGATCAAGCGACAACAATAAGAGCATAAAACTTCTTTTCTTCGTAATCAACGAAACATGATCACAACTACAATCGATAAATCTTTAAGTAAAACAGTCCGATTACATAATCAAACTAACCTAAAACCCCAGAAAAATTATACCACCGATGATAACACAACGACAAGTATAACCAAAATTAGCCACAAACAATACACAAATCACGGAAAAGAACAAAATATAAGCGAATCTACTCATCACATCATTCAAAAATAGTATCACCCAGATTCAAAATCGAAATTCGGCAACAAAAACCCATACCTAACTGCTCAGAAAACGATTTATGAACAAATCTACGAGTATTAAGGACAAATCTAAGAGAATCGACGACAAGCAATTGAGAAATCGTTGAGTTTCATAAGAGAGAGAGAGAGAGAGAGAGAGAGCTCACCAAAAGCTAAGCACCAGATTCTCAGAGAAATGAGGATTGTTGAAGAAAACGAGACGAGAGATAGTTTACATTTATTTGGGAAGAAAGAGATCACTGTGAGGAGAGATAATGCTAAATTAACCGCGCTGTCTCATAAATGACAATTACAGGTGGGGCCCACTGTATAATCCCGTCAAAAGAAAAAAAAGGAGAGATTTCGTGTAGGCTAATCTTTCGTTTTCAGCCGCTGGATCTCTCTGTAATGAACGACTGGATTTCATCGTTGACGGATGGATAGGAAAGCGTAACATATCAAGTTTTATAATTAGCGAATAATCATGTGTTTACCAACTTAGAGTAGACTACATGCTCTTTTAGATTCTGAACCGTTGGATTTAGATGACTTCAATTGAACGGTGTCAGTTGAAGAGCTCGCCTTATATGGATAATGACCAGTGTAATGTTTATATTGGGCATATAGGAAGCCCAATTTTAATCCAAATTGTTTTTTTTTTGTGCACCCAAATTTTATATCATAGCTAATCATCCTCAAAAGAGGGAAATGTTACAAAGGGAGGAGCCAAAGCAATTAAACTCCCAGAACCAGAAGCGAAGCAATACATAAAAGAAAAGCAGATAGAGAGATAGATCAAAGCAATCATAAACCCTAAGCAATAATCGTCATCGCGGAGTCCTTGAACCTTGATAACACTAGAGCGAAGAAGAGAGATGACACCTTGGACAACACAACACATATACAGTGCGATATTGCGCGTGATTGAAACTGCCACTAGGGCAACTAAATCAATCCTAAACTTGGCTGTCAGGAAAGAGGTGACAATGCACCAAACTGAAGAGCCGTTGAGATACAAACCAACAACTGTGGTTCTAGGTTGGGAACAACCTGGATCTGCCATAGACGTAGGCAGAGAAACGCCGGAGAAGTATCCGGTGATCAATCTTCGCCGAATTTGGGCGAAATCCGAACCAACAAAGGTGGTTTTGAACCAGAAGCAAACTGGACCAACCGGAGAAGTATCCGGTGTAGGCGGAGGAGAAAACCCGGAGAAGTATCCGGTGACCCGCTGAGTGAAGAAGTCGGAGATGGCGACGTGGTGACAAAGGGTGAGACGGGGGAAAATCGATTTGGTGGTGGTCACATGTGGTGAAAAGTGTACGGCAATAAGGCAGGCCAAAAAAATATGTTTGCATAACAAAACAAACTTGCAGCCCAACAAACTTAATGGGCCACAACAAACTCCAAGAGGCCTAAAGATGGGCCAAGCCCAGTTGAAACCCTTCCACCGAAATTGTAATGAAGGGATCTGACCTAATCCGAGCGAGGAGGATGACATGCGGCGGCGGCGGATGACGGAGTCGGAAATGAAATCGAACATGGAGAACGGGAGAAGGCAAAGCTCTCCATGAAGGGAGGTCGAGGAAACAACAACCACCGGCAAAACCCGGTTGAGTCGCTTACCGCCAGCGAAGTAGCTAGCGGTTCTTCCAAAGGGAGGTGGAGCACGTCGAACCGGTGAGCCAAGGATCTTCAAAGAAGAGGAGAAGCTGCTCGATCTGCAAACGACGAGACGCAACGGAGGGATGAAAGATGGAAGGGAACGGAGTGAAAGGACGAAAAGCTTGAGACGAAACCAGATTGGATTCTTCGGGAGAGGAGTAGAGCAGCAAAGAGACGACAACATCCGACGCCGGCGAGCCATAGCTACACCGGCGCTGGAGGAAAAGGGTTCTTGAAGTGTCTCGGGAATAATGCCTGGGAGAGAAAGCTAGTTTTTTGACAAACGTACTTAATCCAAATTGTTTACATTATCATTATCATATAGATATGGGATTATTACTGAATTGGGCATTTGTTGGGCCAAAAATTTCAGATAAAGAACTTTTTGCCTGGGCTTCATTTTTAAGCATTTTTTGATTAGATGCAATTATCCATTTACCCCTGAATTCTTCTCTGTCTGTTTCTTGCTTCCTCTTCCGACTAACACCATCGACGAATTCAATTCAATGGATTCAATGAATTGTATTTTGTATAATGGAAACTAAATCCTAATCTTGTCTACTAAACCCAAGGGCTCCAACCACAACCCTTGCTTTCCTAGCCATAATTATTCGTTCTCACCATGTCCACCGCCGAACACCATCTCCGATCCGCCACCAGGACCATCTCCGATCCGAAACACAAATTTATCCGCCGCTAATGCCATCTCCAATGAGTTCAATGTATTCAATTGATTCAATTAGGTTCGTTTGAATTAAGAAAACTAAACCCTAGGAGTATCTACTAAACCCAAGGGTTTCAATCAAAACTTCCAATTTTATCTTTAAATCTAAACAAAAAATTTCTTCTGATCTCATCACCACCATGAGAAGCTGCGGCGGTCTATAGGAGCAGAGGACTGCGGAGATACAAAGCCATGGAATCCTTTTTTCGTTCTTCTGTTAATTGCTATGCGCCGTTCTTTCTCTTCATCCACTAATTTTGGCAAATCGAGATGCTCAGAACACGTGAAAGAAGCAATGAGAATCGACCGGAGGAGACAGAGTTCCGAAGGCGAGAGATGGTGAGAAGAGAAGCTGAAGTCTCCGCCACAACCACAACTCTGCAACGTTTTCGTCTAATGAAGGACAAAATTGTAATTTGGCCATCAGAAAAATACCTAAATACATAAGACCGGATAAAGAGTCCGAAATTGGTAATTTTTGTGGGAAAAAAGCCCAATCCGGTAATTGATTCTATAGATATAGAATCTATTTTCCAAAACACGTATTAAGTTTTTTTAGCACACTCATTGAAATTATTCGATGTTTCTATATACTCGCCTCCTCTTTCGCGAGTACTTCCATTAGTTACAACAACATGCTTACATCCGCAAAGCCTAAAAGCCTAAAAGCCTAATAGCCTAAAAGGATTGATTTTCTTTATTCCGATTACACTTTCTGAACCTTTTTCGAGCTTGTTAACATCAATTGCCTAATAGTAGGTAAAACAAAAAATACTTAAATTCACTAATGTCTAAGTCTCTAACTATAGTCAGGGCCGATTATTGGCATGTGCAAGTGGTGCATTTGCACCGGGTCCAACAAATTTAAGGTCCAAATTCATAGTTTTTCTATTATTTAATTATTTAATTATGCTGAAATTTTATAAAATATCTATATGTAAAGGTCCCAAAATTTTATTTTAAAAGGTAATATTGAGGCCCAAAATTAATAAACAAAAATAACATGTCCAAATAGCTATAAAATACAAAATAATTTATGAAATATAACTTTTTGTAAATATATATATATATATAAATTTTTTATTAAAGATAGGATTTTTTTTTGTATGGCACCGGGTCTTACCGATGAGTGAGCCGGGCCTGACTATAGTATACCAAAAACGAAAACAAAAACAAAAAAAAGGTCTAACTATACTCTAACACAGATACATTAACTAGTTAGTTTCATTACCAAAAAAAATAAAAAAAAATCATCTACGTTATGCGTGATATGATAACCTTTTTATATAATTCGGATTGCATCTCAAGTAAAATGTTATTCTTCTTCGTTAGTGTAAGCACTTCTTCACTAAGCTTTTGATTCTCCGCTTGTAATTTCGCCAACTGGAAAAATCGAATAGTTACATAAGATCAGGAAACTTAAATTCACAAATTATTTGAACTATATATACAAATTAAATATTGGTAAGTTAGCCTATTAATCTACTTTGCGCCTAACTGATTACTGTTACCTGTAATTCAGTGTTAAGCTCAAGTGAAGTTTGATTCTTCCGGGTTAGTGTAAATGTTTCTTCAATAAGTTTTTGATTCTCCAATGTCAACTTCTTCAAATTCGCCAACTGAAAGTTACAAAAGAAAAAATCGATCAATCAATAGTATAATGTTCAAGAAAATTTGTACAAAGTTAAATTACCTTCGTGGCACGATCCTCCATCTTGGAGTTGTTGATCACTAATTCCGGTGATATCAAGCTTATTCAAATTTGGCGATATATATTGAAAACAAACCACTTATTATATTTCAGTAGAATATTGACATGTAGAAATTTAGTAAATTTTCTAAGTTAAAAAATCAATAAAAAAAAATTAAATGGATATATTTTCTTCGATTGCCTTCTATCACAAAATCTTCCAAAGATTTTTTCACAACCTCTAAACGAATTTCAGATTTTTTTTTTTTTTTTTTTTTGTAAACCTCGAATTTCAGAAAAAATCAAAATGCATATTTTATAGACTAAAATTACTCTGTGTATTTATAAGGTTCGATTTTATTTATTTTTTTTGCGACAAATATGGTTTTAGATAAAATGTTAAATAACAAAATTTGTTGTAAATATCAAGTATGTAAATATTTCAAAGAATCTGAAAATAGTCAAATACAACACACGATTAAAACCACAAGTCTGGCTTTTTATTCACTTCGATTACAAAAGTTCACAACTCATCAGTCATCAGACAAAAGATGCAAACCAATAAACAAAAATCAATTTAGACGAATCTTACTCGGTCTGAACCGGTTTAGTCTCTTTGGGCGCGTTGTTCTCGACTTCACGACCCATTGAACCGGAAAAACCGGTGAACATTTTATCAAAAAGAACCATAGAGAGATCAATGTTGGTTTCGATCTACTGCTTCTTCGGTTTGGTAAGATACGCAGGTGCATTACAGATTAACGTGTTTCTTATATTTATATATTATCGTTTTGCTTCACTGTTTTGTTCAAGTTTATAAATTATAGGGTTGTAATTTTGTTCCAATATAAAATTCTTTCTTTATATTATAGTCGCAATCAATAAACAGAGCAATAACCTTTTAGAAACAAAACCATAGTCATCTTCGAATAATTTATCCTAAAAAGAAAAAAGACTTATTAAAAAAAAAAAAAAAAAAAAAAACAGAAACCTAAAGTAAGTAATTAACAAGCACATGAAAAAATTGATTCTTAAACTCCTTAACAAGACATTCCAAGCTTCTTCAACACTTCACACGACCAAATTGTAATCTCATAAGTCATAACTAAGACATAATACCCAATAATCAAATCAAAACCCTTATTTTGAACAATGTCTCCACTTCACTCTTACTTTATCTTCTTCTTCCTTCTTATGGCCATCCTTCTTCAATCATCAACAACATCATCCCAATCAAATCTCTGCAGATCTTCTTGCGGCAACATTCCGATAAATTACCCTTTTTCCATCGACGACGGTTGTGGTAGCCCTTATTACAGACACATGCTCATTTGCTCTGACAACAACACCAAGCTCGAACTTAGAACACCATCTGGTAAATACCCTGTTAAATCCATAAGCTACTCTGATCCTCACCTTCTTGTCTCCGATCCATTTATGTGGAATTGTCAAGATCGAGACAATTTTCGACCAACTAGATCATTTAGCATCGATTCAAGCACACACTTCACTGTCTCCCCTCAAAACGACTACTTGTTCTTCAACTGCAACACCGAGAAAGTAATAGTCGAGCCAAAACCGCTCTTCTGCGAGAGGTTTCCAGATAGATGTGACTCGTCCTGCGATAGTTCAAGCTATTTATGCAGGCATTTGCCCGAATGCGGCTCTGCTTTGGGATCTAGGGTTTCTTGTTGCTCGTATTACCCGAAAGCCACTCAGTCTCTTAGGCTCATGCTGCAGAACTGCGCGACATATACAAGCGTGTATTGGAGGAGTACAGGTGTGGAGAATGCACCGTATGATCAGTTTCCAGAGTACGGGATTAGGGTTGATTTCGAATTTCCAGTGACTATGAAGTGCCTTCTTTGCCAAGAAACGACGAAAGGTAGTGGAGTTTGTGGGTTTAATACGAGGACTCGGGATTTCTTGTGCCTTTGCAAACAAGGCAACGTCACTACTTATTGCAAAGGTAAAATCTTTTTCTTCATATTTTTTCGTTCTACGTACTTAACTACAATTTATATATATTGAAAAATATGTAACTACTAGACAGTATATTATGATGAAATCTTCTTAGATTAGAAAAAGTATGTGATTTTGAATTATACAATACTAATACCGTAATACGTATATTCAATCATTTTGATATATTTTGCAGATCCAAGCCTCGTAAAGCATAAACGCGTTGGAGCTATGGCAGGTAATTAAGCAAGTTTACTATAATTACTATATGACGTTATACTTGTAAGCTGTGACCTGATTTGAACCGGAAAATTTGTCGCTATATACAGGAACAGTGACGGCAGTTTCAGCGGCCGGAGCGATTGGCGTTGCGGGTGGAGTGTATTGGTACTTGAGGAAAGTGAGAGCCAAAGCTCCGGTCACTTGTGGAGTGCAAAGCAACGAAAACAGAATTTTCTAAAAGCTCCAATGAAATCATAACTTTAAGAAGACAAAAGCATGGTCGGTCCCACACTCACAATTCCTTTTTCTTCTGTTTCGTTCTTTTTTTTTTTTGTCTTTTTTTTTTTAATTTTCCTTTTATCTTTGATCTTGTGTAGACTACAAAGTTGGGATAAAGATTTTTGTATTTTTGGTATAGTAATTTTTCGTTTTGGTCGGATAGTAAATCTTTTGGTAAGCATCAAGCAAGAAAACTTTTGCAAGCATAATGGAGTATATTGGACTGTACCGTTTTTCATAAGAAGGCAAAGTTCTCCAAAATACTATACTCTTCACATGGTCAACTTCACATCTTTATAATTATACAAGTCTTTACAAAAAAAATCTAGAAAGAAAACCATAAAGTATATAAATCCTCCAAGATAATTTGAATTCCGTCCCGGGTACCGAAGAATTCACAAAACACACCTCAGAAACAGGAATTCCACCTCGTCGTTTCAAATGAAAGAAACAAAAATTAACAATACGTTACTTTTATGAAACATTATATAAAATCACAGTCTATATATATGTGAATAATTAGTTAGCAAATTCTGCCGGAATAGCAATGGAGAGGACCGGCGGACGAAGTAAGAGAAGGGACGAGAGAGCCGTGAGACACCGGAAACCACTCTGCTCTTCCGTACAACGGCGTTACGGTTCCGTAGCCAGACGGCACGAAGTAAGCTCCATTCTTGAAAACGTCTTTGGACGTTCTCCATTTCCATCTCCTCCAATCATATCCACTATCTATTCTTTTTGTCACCTAAATATATGCATGTAAGATTTCATTGTATTTTTGATGTGTGATATTGTAATGATATTTAAAATTATAATTCTTTTAAATGAAGAGACCTGTTTTTTGCTAGGGTCATCAGAAGCAACGAAGTAGTTGCCTTCACTAAAGATGGTTGGATCAGCACTTCCTCCGATCGCATACATTTGCCACTTCTCGTACCTATTGTTTGCTACATGCGCATACCCTCTTCGCACTCTGCCACGTCACCAATCACATATCCATGTCAGTATTTTCTAATCTAGTTCAATTAAACTAATTAACAATATCTATGTATGTACTCACCTAGGCATTCTCTCAATAAGACCCGGTCCAAAATGGTTGAATGCAATTGTAACTCTCATGTTCTTATCTTCCACATTATTGTCATTGTGTCCGAGTAACATCACCTTCATAATAACATACCAAATTATCATCACATATATTCAAAAGATTATTAAAAATAGTTAACAATTTATGTTAAATATAAACTTACTTTATCATGCTGAGTGAAGTAGTTATTAGAAATAGTGACGGCCGTCGAAGCATGAAGTACATCGATCAAACCATCTTGACACCGAGAAAAGTAACAATGATCAATCCAAATATGTGAAGAATCAAAAATGGCTATTGCGTCACCATCCGATCCTTTCCGGCTGCCAACATGAGTCGGGCTGCTCCGAACCCGACCCGACTTACCCGGTTTACAATCATGGATACTTATCCCATGTATAATGACATGGCTCACATGTTGGATCGTTATGCATGGTCCATAGGCAATTTCCACTTTTGCCCCTCTTCCATCGATCGTCTTGTAGCTGTTCATGATGAGTTCGTTTCGCAACACTATGACCATGTCACGTGCGAATGTGATCCATAGTGGTTTAGATTGGATCACGGCGTGTCTAAGAGTTCCTGGTCTAGGGTTTTCAGGGTCGTCTGATGGGTTTGTAACCACGTAGATCGACCCGTATTTCCCCCCAACCGCTGATTTCCCAAACCCTACCGCGCAATCGGCTAGAGAACGACGGTTAAACGCCCAACTAGGGTTTCTTCGCCAGCAAGAATCGATAGGATTTAGTAATAGTTTGGGAATTGTATAACCATTACCGTAAGCCGCCTCTACAATAAAAGAAGAGAAAGCTGCAAAGAGAAGTGAAAGTGTTAAGAAAAGAGAAGCCATTTGCTTGAAGATGTGAGTCTTGAATTGAACTGTGTGTGTGCAAATATATATACACGACACAAATATATGCTAGAGAATATACATATCAGTATCTATAGACTTATATATCCATTATAAATTTGCAATTAAGTATCCAATTTTATGTATATCTGTGAAAGATGAGAAGGTGGGACACACGGATGGCGCTGACTAATGATATATGAAACTATATTATCATTTGAATTCATTGTTCCCGCAACACTTCTTTGATCAATGCTCTTTGTTATCGATAGACGTGGTTGCACGAGATTGAGATGACGATGGATTGTTTTGACTTTGGAATTTAATTTTGTACTTGTTTAATAATTTTGGATTATATAATTTGTACTTGTTTAGAGAAAAATTTAGTCCTTTCCTTTTTTTTTTTTATATAACATAGTGACTAGTCTGTGATTCGTGAGTTTGGTACACAAAGACACTGCATTTTGACATGCATGGTATCGGCCTGCGCATACAACATGGTGCCAATTATCAGATTTATTTTATCGGTAAATACTTCAACTTGTTTATAAATTATAATATATTGCGCTTTTATTTTAATACGAGACTGAAACGAGTAATAATATTTAAGAAAACTATATAAAATACTATTTGAGACGGCAATTAACAAATGTCATTATCATCACTTTTCTTTCTATATATGCACTAAAGTCAACTTCTGTCAAATCCGTACATCTCCTTGATCATTTTCACTTTTATGTTGATATTAAAATTAGAGTGTAAATGGGATTAGGATAATGTTGGATTTTTATAGGAAATAATAAAACTTTAAATACCGTAAATAGATTTCTAGGTAGAAATAAGAAATATAGAGTGTTTTGTGCTAGGACTATTGAACTCAGTTCTGTATTACATATTTTATAAATTAATTAAAAAAACTGTAACTATAACTAATAAATTCAAACTTTATTCAATAATAATACATGGGATTGTTACATGAGACATGGGCGTATAAACAAAATTTAACAATATAATAATGATGACAAACTTTTACAAGACCTTTCTATCTTTAATAACAAGTACTCGACCGTTATGTAAGCTAGCTATATAATCTTTTAATTTCGAAGTGTAAGTAATATAAATATAATCCAATTTAAACCAATAAATTAAACTTATTTTATAATGACTTTTATACCACATTGTTTCTTTAAGCATAGCCGCACATCCCATAGGCACACGATCTCCCTTTCTTGCACTTCTTAAAGCAACCTCCACAATGTCTCCTATCAAACATTGGGTTTACACAATATCCGTTGCAACAAATCTCCGAGTATTGACAGCTTTTTCCACATCTTCCGCAATTCAATTTGTTGGTCCTCAAATCGACACACCTCTTACGACAACAATTACGACCTGGACTGCCTTTGAGACGACATACTTTGGAGCTTTTGTCACATGTCATTGTTGCACCTATAGGTTTCCTACCTTTGTTCCTTGCTGAAGCGGCTATCCCCCTACCATATTTGTGTTGATGTTTCGCCTCAACCGTTGGCGATTCGCTAAATGTTATAGCAATGGCTAAGACCATTATGAGCACCATAATGAAATAGGATATCTTGAATGTATTCATGATTCTTCTTGTTGTGATCTTCTTTTAAGAAATCAAAGGAGAGAAACTGAAAAACAAAATGTTTAGATTGGGATGTATTTGCGTTTGTTTTGTATGTGTATGAATATTTTTAGATGAAGAGTAACGAACGACGTGAATGTTATTTATAGACGAGAGAATGATGCATAGGTCAACGAAGAAGTTTTTTAAAAATTAGGTCGTAATAAGAAAAATATTTGACTTTTTAAGACTCTTTTAGTGGAGTGGTCAATTAAATTCGAAGAGTTTAGATTTCAGAAGAGTAAAACGAGTTAGGCTCGCGTAGAAAAAAATCAATAAATTTCTAAATTAGGCAGAACAAGAGTGGAACACATGAAATTCGTTTTATCATTTGGCAATAAATATTGTTTAGCTCCATATATTTGTTATTGTGATTTAGTATCAACGATATTTTGGAAATAAGGAAATAAAATTCTTTAAATAAGTGAAGGGGAAATATCTAGATATTTTGCAAAGAATAACAGCATGAGATATTCAAGTTTGATAATATCTAGAGACAAAATAAAAATAAAAATAAATCTTTTAGCTAAAAAAAGTTATTCCAACTAGTATTGTAACGTCTCGATCGCGTCCGTTAGTGATTTTTTCACTTCTTGATCCTGACAATTCGATCAGTTAGTTCAAAAAGCTCAAAGGATTTATCTACTAATATTTGTAGAGTACCAATAAGTATTATAGTCCTGAAAGTTCCATAATCCGGTAATGAATGCTTGAAAATAGTTAATATTGACAAAGCTTTTTTCTTTTTCTTTTTTAATATCGACAAAGTTAGTTACAGATAAGTAAAGACATAATTATAAACGATTTAATTATATATGTAACGTAATACGTTTTATGATAAGATATTTTTTTATAAAAAACTACTCTTGTTATTGTTAATTCGATTACAAACAATCAATTAAATTCTAATCTTTTAACGAAGTAGTGTATATAGTATATACTATATAGAGATTTAGGAAGATATTTTTTAACAGTGTTTATCCATATGGAACTCCACTATCCGAATTAATCCAAGTCTTTTTGTTGTACACACTTTTAGCCTTTATGTGCTAAGTTTACGAAACTTGCATTCTTTTTTGTCAAAAGGTTAGACATTGACAATTTTTTGAAGCGTTCATATTTTATAATTCAACTAGTTTTATAGTATCAATCATATGGATGAAGCAAATAATAAATTTAGAGCTAAGAAAAATATATAGGTGAGAAAAAGGTACGAGTACAAATGTACAATACAAGACTTTCCGTAATACACGGTACATAAGTATTTGTTCAAACTTGACTAAATTCAGTTATGAAAGCACTCGAGTAGGCGTAGACACTTGGCTTGGTGGGTTAAATTCAATGAATAATAATATATTTGGGACCCTAATATATTTGCGTATTTTAAACAAGTACAAAAAGTCCCTTCAAGGACATTGCTGCAATTTAAAGTTCGGACTGTGACACTGGTTAAAATCCTTAATGAAATTCGAATGATTGTTGATAACAAAGTGACGGAGTTTTTAAGTGGAGAGACATGTGGATTGTTAAATGTACGTCGGATTTAAAAGCATGAAAGATTTAGAGAACAACTTCAACCATG